AAAGACGGAGACAAAGAAGAGAACCACACACAGATTTTCTTTGTCTCCGTCTTTTTTGTGCGCCGCTTTTCTTTGAATATGAATACACACCAACTCGCCCAACTTTCTATTCTGTTACGGTATAGTGACTGATGACGACGAGGGTGGAAAAAATGGCGGCAGATGGTGGTGGTGGTGGCGAGACAATGACGGTGACGGTGAAAAATGCCAGCTGATGACGACTAGAGTGTAAAAAATGGTGGCAGATGGTGGTGGTGGTAAGCCGATAGTGGCGACGGTGGAAAATACCAGCTGATGGTGGCGAGGCAAAACGTCGTTGGTGGAAGGCTTGGTGAGGAAGGTGGATGACGGTGGCGTGATGGAAGCTTGGTGGATGGTGGTAGCATGGTGAAAAAGCACATGACAGCATGTGAAATCACTTATTTGTAGCGTTTCATTCTTCAATGCGCAGATATATATTTACGGTCAAAAGAAACCAACGCTGCTCAGTACGCTTTCTAGCACATTTATTTTTTTGTTCCTGTGGTGTCAACAACGCTTCAATTTTCGTTGAGCGTAAAATATGCCGTCGGGAATATGTTTACATTTCTTGCAGGTACTTACAGCAGTTTGACATCCTCGATGTGTTTCTTTGTCGTGGTGTTTAGAAGACTAGAGTTGTCACTGTGAACAGTGACAATAATTGCTTTAAATCGGCGCGCAGTGGTCCAGAAATAAATGAGCTCCAGTTCGCAATGGCCTTTTTCAATGTTACAGCCGAACACAGCGGTCACTTGATGTCACCACACTAGAAACGCAACTCTGGCAATTCTTGCACACTCTATTCCTTGAGCCATATTTTCAAGTTAACAAAGTGCGTGCAAATATGCATAAACTTTCACTTTCGACATGTGTCGAGACGAGCCCCAGCGAATTTCACTTTCACCTTTGTGTTCTACCACTATGATTTCTACCAAACGTTAGTCCTACCGACCAAGCCCGCACAACTGTTATCGGCGCTTCTGTGTTTCAGAATGCATGATTTGGACGAGTAAAAATGAAAATACAGCACAGCTGTGGCATCGTTTAGCCTAAATGAGGCCTTTCTTATTGTGTACGGTGTCCGCACAAGAAGCGACAAACATCTATGAGACGCCATTGCAGCACTTCCACTAAATATACGCCTCCCCTCACCGACAGCCGCCGGTCGCACTCACCGGCACTTCACTGGCTCTTATGCAAGAACACAGACTCATCAATTCTTATGCTTACCGAACCAATATGATAGCATAATGTTTCTCGCGCACTGCATTCGTTTTGGCCAAGTCGTTATGTAGTTGTTCCTATGCAATGAAAGAGCAACAGCGGTGGGCTGGCACGACTGTGCTGTGCATTGCGGGAAGGACATCACAATCAATTGTTTGGGCGTATCTATCTTAAATTGACGATGACCCAGCGAGCAATGGAAAGAAAATGGTAGGTGTAACCTGAGGATACAAGAAGAGAGCAGAGTAGATTAGGAAACAAACGGGGGTTAAGGATATCATGGTGGAAATCAAGAAGAAGAAAGGGACATGGACCGGGCTTGTAGCGCGTAGACAGGATAACCACTGGTCATTAAGGGTAAGGGCCAAACCTCATAAGCTCGAAACTACACGCGACAGCGACGAGCGACGCGACGTAGATCGTCTTCGCGCGATCAGTCGCTAGCGCAGGCAAACCTCATTCACGCGACGGCTTCGGCGAGCGAATTCCACTATTGCTGGCATGAGGCCGTCTACTCGCACCAAGAAAACCGCGTAACGAGCGGTATGCAATTTAAAAATAAGATATATTGTTTCGTAATGAAACGGAAAGTGTTTATTACTGCCTTGCAGCACTTTTTATATGCACATGCGTAATAAACAGTGCGTTATATCTTGTTGCGCATACGTGACTCGGGTAGCGTCACGTGCACCTATGTAGTCTTTGTCTTTTCCGATTTTTCGCTATTGGCTGCTTGAGCCCAGCACTTCCGGGCGATGAGCGACGGTTTTCAAATCTGGAGAACCGAGCGATCGCGCGAAAACGAGCATGCGACATGTCGCGCGAACGCCCTGTTTCGTCGCTCATATAGCGTCGCTCGTCGCTGTCGCGTGCATTTTCGCCCTTATGAGGTTTGGCCCTAACTAGATTTTCAGAGAAGGCAAGAGGGTTAGGGGGAGACAGAAGGATAGGTGGGCAAATGAGATTAAGAAGTTTGTGGGTATAAATTGGCAGCGGTAAGCACAGGACCGAGTTGACTGGCGGAACATGGGAGAAGCCCTTGTCCTGCAGTGGACGTAGTCAGGCTGATGATGATGATCTACCGAGTGAGCATAGAAGCGTCATAAACCTGAACAGATATTGCCCTTTGTAAGGAGTGAGAAACGGATATCAAACTTCGCAGTAACCGCCGATAAAGTGTACCTGCGCCTCAGTCTACCGAGTTGTTTCTTTTCTTCTGGTTGCAAATCTTAACAAAAATATAGCGCAGTTGCCATTATCGCAGTGACAATCGTTACAGGCAGGAGTTGTTCTTGTTTATCTAATGTGCAAATTTTAGTAGCAGGTGCAGATTCGGTCCATCTCGAGTAAGCGACAAACAGAACTGAACTTAAACAGCAAGTTTGTGAGTTGACTACTTCTTTAACACTAACCGTGCCTTCTCGCGATGTGGTGCAGTGGTTAGTGTGCTCAGTTAATAATCTGAAGGTGGCAGGTTCGATTCCGCTCTGTCGCAGTTTTTTTCACGGGTGCTTTCTACTTCGTTTTTATAAATATATTTTTATTCTTTCTTTAGTGGCAGCTCGTCATGCTTGTTCTCACGTTGCTTCGCGCTCCAGCATTGCCGGCTGGAGCGCGCCATCCACCATCCGCTCCACCATACGCCACCATACACCATGTGCCACCAACATTTCCAGCAGCATAATTCACCAAAATGATGGATAGTTTAATTCATCATTCCTATGGTGGACGTTTTTTTTTTTTCAATCGGGCACCCGTGAGCATAGACGTGGCACTCTTTTGACTTCATTTGCAAATCGAGCTGTCATTTTATTGTGATAGCAGTTATAAGGACACTCTCGGGTGGATTTCACCGCCAGCGTCGATGTCACACTCACCATATATATATATATATATATATATATATATATATATATATATATATATATATATATATATATATGACGTATCAAGTGATGGTTAGTAGAGGTAGAGAAGGAAGAAGTCAGAGAACAAGATAAACATGTGGTATGAGCCCGGCCACGTCTCCCATTCATCATAGCGTCACACACATATATATATATATATATATATATATATATATATATATATATATATATGTATATATATATAATCTGTGTGTGTATGTGTGTGTGTGAACGCAAGAAAAAGAATAATCCAGAAAAAGACTTCGGCACGCGGAATCGAACTTTGGACCTCTGAATCACGAGTGTGAGGCGTTAATCACTGAGCATCAGAGAAGCCCTTCCTTGAACGCTCGAACGGCAAGCTATTTATATCTACCACTTTCCGCTGGTGACGGGCATCTTGACGGGCATCTTTCCGCGGGTGATGGGCAGTTTTACCAGCAAGATGGCGCAATTAGCGCACGTCACCACATCGTCACGACGCGGCGGCGCGCACTCTCATCTCCCACATGTTCTTTGCACTGTGGAGAGGAGGGGGGTGGACGCTCACTCCGCGCCCATATATCGCGGTGGGGAAGATCGTACGTCTCGGCTGGCTTTGGGCTTTCATTAGAACGATTCTGTTGTAGTTACCAAGTGCACAAAAGTCACCGCAATAGTTGCACGATCACCGTTTGCGAAAAGGGCGTGCTTTTCAGACACAGCAAAGTGTCTGAAAAGCAGTGGTAATTCAACCATTTCGTAAATAAGTCAAACTTGCATCCAGGATACTTTTCAAATCACTTATTTCCGAAAGAAGGAAAGAAATATCAATTTAAAGAGTCATTTTTCTCTCTTATACACAATATTAATGAGTACTGACAAACAATGATGCCAAGAAAAGTATAGGGAAAGTTATTAGTACTAATTATAATGGAAATATTTGGAATGAAAAGGGAACTAAACGATAAACTGCCGCTGGCAGGTATCGAATATATTTTAATCATGTGTCAGGTGCTCGTCCGACGCCCGCCAGACGCAAAGCAGCCCTATTTTTTTATTCTTCAGACTTCGTAACACTGCAACACGCGAATGATAGTTCCATAACAATCTAGTGGCATCAAAAATGGCTTAAAAGACGCTGCACTTACTGGAGTATGCAGAACAATACAGTGGTTACAAGCAAGGGTCACGGTACCACTACAGCTAAAAAAATGAAAATTTTGGTAAAAGAAAAGGTCCGATGCATGTGGACGTTCGCGCGCTTGTTTTTTCGTCGAGATGGCGAACGCCACCACGTGACTTCGCTCCGCCAATAACAACGCACATACCTGAACGCTTAACCCCACTGGAGGATTCTGGAGGCGAAAATTTTTAAAAAAACCTCGTTGTATTCAAGTAGTTAAAGGCAGCATTATAAGCTTGAAAAGCGGAACCCAGGAAACGTTTATTGTTTCACACGGTAGAGGTTCTATATCAGTATCTTTTATCTTAAGATAAAAGATGCAGTATTCAATGTATGGCAAATACACGAGCACTTGTATTGCGAGACGTATTGCGATACAGGTACAAAATATGCAAGGAGTATGTAAGGTACATATCTAAGTTACGTGTATGTGCGATACTGTCACCCTAGAAAACCGTGCCAGTTAAACCTCATCTGATTTTTTTTTTTTGCTTTGCCTCATTTTTCTGTCCACAGGTTTGTCATTTGCATCCCAAGACAATGCCTTGTACCGTATTAAAGAAAATCTCACTCTTAGAACTTTTACAGATTGGCCTCGGTCCACCAGACGGCTATGGCATGCAGCTACTTTTCTCTCATTAGATTCAATGTCGTTCCTCTCTCTCTCTTTTCTTTTTTTTTAGATTGTGAAACAACGAGTGTCTGAATACAGGATGGGTGAAGTGAAGCCGGACTCAAAGAAGTCTTTCTTGGACATTCTCCTGCACATGCACATGGTGGACGGCACGCTAACGGAAGATGAAATCAAGAACGAAGTCACATCTATATTTATTGGGGTCAGTTTCTTTTAGTTTCGTGGTTTAAGTTTCCGTACTCACCTTCATTCAAAAATACAAGTTTCGGAATTCGGCACACACAATTAAGTTTCTTATGCTTAGGGACAATAAAGGCAAATACATTATGTACGAGTGAAAGTTCAAAGTATGAGAACGTCTGGAACGTCAACATTATCCACAACAGCTCTCTACGACAGGAGGATCGACGTAAGCGTTGGAAACAATACGTACCACCAGGAGACATTTTGGAATAAGCTTGATGACGTCATGAGTCCAATTGCAGACAATCATTACTACTGAAACTACTATAATAAAAAATAACACTCCAAGCACTACAGGGCATTATGAAATCGTGCTTGTGCATTTCCTTTAATTCATCGAAAACCGAATTTTACCTTATACCATGGCGAGCAGCACGGGTGAATCAAAAGTTAGTTCTGCACCGGGATGCGCTCCCCTCACGCGACAGCGTCCATTCTCGTGGCTTTTCTTTTTTTTTTTTTTTTGGAACCATCTCTCCGGCACCTCTAAGCCAAATACGTCGTCAGGCGCCTTTTTCATGGCTCCTCGGAGAAGACGAGCATTAGACCGACGTGAATCAAAACAAGTGAACGGTGCGCACACTGATTTCACGGTATACATGGGTTAATGATCTCGCATTTCGGCCGCAAGGCGCACGATAGGCGCGACAGGGGTTCACCCAACGGCGCCAGCACAAATATACGTACGCATATGAGGCAGCCTTGATCCCGCTCTAACGGCCAAATCCAATGCAGCATCCCGACTCTGCACTGCAACGTCCGAGTGTCAAGCGCTGCCCCAGAACACATTGCATTACAATGCAAATAACTGCGGTCTGCTTTAGCGTGAAGACACGTGCGGCGGCGTCCGTGTTCCGGCTGCCATATTTGAGGCCACGGCGTCTTACCAGACTCTTACAGCGCTACGACGGCGCCAATGAGAGTCGCTGGATGTAGGACATAAAATGGCAGCGAGTGACAACACCATAACAGGGTCGTGCGCATCGAGGCACACTAATCAGCAAACCAAGCATAGCGGGAAATATGATCGATTGAGTTTTCGATGCAGGCGCCCTTTGCAAGATAACAGAAGGTGTTGGAGTAGCGCCCGTTAAAAGCAGCATTGGGAAATGATAAGGTCACGAGCTCTTGAAAGGCGCATTGTTTGAATCGCGTTAACAGTATGCGAACCACTAAAATGTGATTTTTTTTTCAATTTAAAATTTTCCATGGCTCAAAAAAAGCACAAAGACTTTTTTGAAGGGTGATTCGGAATTCCGCGCCTAATTATATTGTTACGAGGTTGGTTGCTTCTGAGCGAGATGTATTTGCAGAGTAAAAACTACAGGCAAGAGACACAATGGCTGATTGGCCCAGTCGCGCGCCTGTCAGTCGCACCTCTTCCTTTTCTTCCTCTCCGTAGCAGGACCCCCGGGCGTTGGAGCGCCGTCTCGGCGAGAGTCCGGAGAAGTGCGACAGAAGTAGGGTTTCAAGCGCGAAACATGGACAATGTCAACTAGTGACGAACTTGGTGACGTATTGGAGTGCAATGGCGCTATCTCGTAGGTTACGTCGCTAACTTGACGTAAGACTAGGTAGGGTCCGGCGTATCGGGACAAAAGTTTTTCGGAGAGACCTACACGGCGACACGGTGACCAGAGGAGCACGTGGTCACCTGGGGCAAACGTTATATTTCGATGCCGGTGGTCGTAGCGGGCTTTTTGCATATCCTGTGACCTGGTGAGGCGAGACTGGGCAACTTGACGAGCCATGTGAGCCCGATCAATGGCTTCGCGCGCGTACTCGGAAGGAGATGGCACGAGAGGCAAGGTGGTTTCAAATGGCAATATGGGGTCGCGACCATATAAAAGATAAAAAGGCGAGAATCCCGCAGTGTCATGTCGAGAGGAGTTATATGCGAAGGTCACATAGGCCAACGTTGTATCCCAGTCTCGATGATCATCGGAGACGTACATCGAAAGCATCTCTGTGAGCGTGCGGTTGAGACGTTCAGTTAGGCCATTAGTTTGTGGGTGGTAGGCGGTAGATAGCTTATGGGCTGTAGCACACGATCGAAGGAGGTCATCGACAACTTTGGACAGGAAAGAGCGGCCGCGGTCCGTAAGCAGCTGTCGGGGTGCACCATGGTGTAAGATGACGTCATGAAGAAGAAAATCCGCGACGTCAGTGGCGCAACTGGTTGGCATGTCCTTTGTTATCGCGTAACGGGTCGCATAATCTGTGGCGACGGCAATCCATTTATTTCCTAGTGTCGTCGTCGGAAAAGGGCCAAGAAGGTCGAGTCCCACGCGATGAAATGGTTCAGAGGGGACTTCAATTGGGTGAAGATATCCAGCTGGCAGCAAAGAAGGTCTTTTCCGGCGCTGGCAGAGGTCGCAAGTGGCGACATATCGACGTACGCTGCGGTACAATCCAGGCCAGAAAAATCGACGTCGCACGCGGTCGTATGTGCGGGAAACGCCGAGGTGTCCCGCTGTTGGTGCGTCGTGAAGTTGTTGAAGTATGGCAGGCCGTAGATGACGAGGGATGACAAGCAGAAGCTCAGGGCCTTCAGTGGTGACGTTGCGGCGGTAGAGGATGCCGTCATGCAGCACGAACATACGGGATTCAGCGTCATGGCTGTCAGACTGGATGGCGTCGATGATAGTGCGCAATGATTCATCCCGTCGTTGTTCGATGCGCATATCGCTGACGTCTGTAAACGCCATTACTCTGCTCTCCAGGTCAGGCGCAACGGGATCAGGAGGATCTACCGGATATCGAGAAAGACAGTCTGCGTCCTTGTGCAAACGGCCAGACTTGTAGCTGACGCTAAACGAAAATTCCTGAAGCCTCAGAGCCCAGCGAGCCAGACGTCCAGTCGGGTCCTTCAGAGAAGTCAGCCAACAGAGGGCGTGGTGGTCCGTAACGACAGTGAAAATGCGACCATATAAATATGGCCGAAACTTGGCGACGGCCCAAACTAAAGCTAGACACTCTCTCTCGGTGATGGAATAATTCATCTCCTGGGGAGAAAGCAGGCGACTGGCGTAAGCTATCACGCACTGTCTACCGTGGTGCCGCTGAGCGAGAACTGCGCCGATACCGTGGCCACTGGCGTCGGTGCGAACCTCTGTGGCAGCAGAAGGATTAAGTGGGCAAGTATGGGGGGCGTAGTTAGGTAGCCGATGAGAGCGGCGAACGCTTGAGCCTGCTCAGGGCCCCATGAGAATGTGGTATCCTTCTTCAGCAAATCTGTCAGTGGCCGGGCAACGTCAGCGAAGTTTTTCACAAAACGGCGAAAGTAGGAACATAAGCCGACGAAGCTACGGACGTCGGATGTAGAACGGGGCACTGGAAAGCTACGGACGACGCGGATCTTTTCGGGATCTGGTTGGACACCATCGGCGTTTACAATATGGCCCAGAATGGCAATCTGACGGTGACCAAATTGACACTTCTTGGAATTGAGTTGTAGCCCAGCTGTTCTGAAGACTGCGAGAATTGCAGCGAGACGGGTCAGGTGGCTATCGAAAGTAGATGAAAAGACTATCACATCGTCTAGGTAACAAAGACAAGTAGACCACTTGTAACCACGCAGGAGAGAGTCCATCATTCGTTCGAATGTGGCAGGGGCGTTACATAGTCCAAAAGGCATGACCTTAAACTGGTATAAACCATCTGGTGTAATGAAGGCCGTCTTCTCGCGGTCCATTTCATCGACAGAAATCTGCCAGTAGCCGGACCGGAGATCTATAGACGAGAAGTATGTAGCCCCGTGTAGGCAGTCCAACGCGTCATCGATGCGTGGTAGCGGGTACACGTCTTTTCGTGTGATCTTGTTTAGGTGGCGATAGTCAACGCAGAAGCGCCATGTACCATCTTTTTTCTTCACAAGGACGACAGGGGAGGCCCAAGGACTACTTGATGGTTCTATGACACCTTTGTTGAGCATTTTGTCCACTTCTGCTTGGATAACTCTACGCTCAGTGGGGGAGACACGATAGGGGCGTCGGCGAATAGGACTGGCGTCACCAGTATTTATACGGTGCTGAACAGTGGATGTTTGCCCTAGAGGTCTGTCGTCGAAAGAAAAAATGTCGGTATATGACGCGAGAAGGCGATGGATGTCATTGGCTTGCGCAGGGTTGAGGTCGGGTGCAATCATCTTCGAGAAACGATCTGGCCGAGAACAGGTGCTGTTCGCTACTGGAGACTGAAGTAAATCAATCTCGGTGGTGAGCGCTGCTATTTCGAATTCGTCAGCATTAGATACGCTGGCCAAGAACATGCCACGAGGAAGCACTTGAGGGCACAAGCTGAAATTGAGAAGTGGAAGCGAGGTACAATTGTCAGTAACAGTCACAAGCGTATGGGGAATGGCAATGTTGCGGCTCAAGAGGACGTCGGCGAGAGGAAGGAGGACATATTGACCATCGGGAACTTGGGGCTGTGCGGTCAAAACGACGAAGGTGGCTGCCTGAGCTGACAGCCGCACATCCTGAAGAGAGCACAGGCGCGGCGGGGCAGTGGGGGGGTCAGCGACTATCTGAGGCAACTCTAGCTGAAGAACGCCTGTAGCACAATCGATCAGAGCAGAATGATTCGACAAGAAGTCCAGGCCTAGGATAATGTCATAAGGGCAGTGGTCAATCACGGCTAAAATGACAGAAGTAGTGTGGTCCTTTATACGTAAGCGGGCAGTGCACAGACCGAGAACCATCGGCGTGCCGCCATCGGCCACACGGAGCATTTGTGCAGCCGCTGGTGTCAGAACTTTCTTTAAACGTGTGCGTAGGCTTGAACTCATGACCGAAATGCTTGCGCCGGTGTCGACAAGTGCTTGTACAGGTTCGCCGTCTACTTTAACGTCTATTACACTTCGTCTGGTGGGAACGGAAAGAGGATTTGCTGCGGAAGTCGTCAATGCAGCACCACCTCCGGGGGCTGCATTTCTCAGTTTTCCGAGACAACGCGGCCGGAAGCCACGGGGGACGAGAAGCGCCGTGGCTGCGGCGAACGGGACGATGGGCGACGTGTTTGCGGCGATCGAGACTGGTGCCCACGTGGTGAAGGCGAGCGGCTGTACCAAGTGTTCCGAGAATGGTCAATGGCATTGGGCTCTTCGGCAGGTGGAAAGGTGCGGGCGGTATCGTCGAAACGGGTCATATTGGTCGTTGCGCGATGTGCCGAGGACCATGTGTTGCGGCAGTAACGGGCAATATGTCCAACGCGGTGGCAGTTGAAACATATAGGGCGGTCATCTGCAGTTCGCCACTCAGCCGGGTTGCGAGTACGTGGAGAAGACCGTCGGTCGGAGAAGGGCATCACGAAAGGGCGTTCGCTGACTCTAGGCGCGGTGACATGGCACACGGAATGCACTCCGATGTTTTCAAGCTCCCGGCGCACGATGGCTTGAACAAGAGGAACAGTAACAGGAGTGGCATCGGTACTGCGCGAATAGAACGCCGAGGGCGCCATAGCTTCCAGTTCACGACGAACAATGCGTGTAAGGTCTCCCGGCGGCGATGCACGTTGTGGTGTTGACTGGTCCTCGCAAGTAGATGTTGCAGCGGTGTTTGGGAGTCGAGCGAATGTTTGTAGAATGCGGCGACTTTTCACTTGCTCGAACTGACGACACTCTTTGATGATCGCGTCTACGGTGGAACAGCCCTTGCACATCAGGAGATTGAACGCGTCGTCGGCAATCCCTTTCAGAACATGTCCCACCTTGTCACCTTCTGTCATGTCGCTTTCGGCCTTTCGGCAGAGGGCCAGCACGTCTTGAATGTAAGCGAGGTATGACTCCGTAGGGGATTGGGCACGGCAGGCCAATTCCTTTTTGGCGGCGATCTTCCGACTGGCGGTTTTGCCAAACACCTCCCGCATCTTTGCTTTGCATTGGTCCCAGCTTGTGAGTTCTTCTTCATTGTTCTCATACCACACCTTGGCCGTGCCTCTCAAATAGAACAGCACATTAGCCAACTGAAGTGTGGGATCCCATCTGTTCGGCACACTCACTCGTTCAAACATGGCCAGCCAATCGTCAACGTCGACGCCATCGGTTCCGCAGAATGTACCGGGATCCTTGAGAGGCGTGAAAACGTACGGTTGCGACGCCATGTTCGTCGGAGACGCTGACGTTGACGCGGAGGGCTGAGCATTGGCCATGGCTGGAAGGGCGATGCGACGTCCGCTGCGGAGCTCCGTTGCCTGATGGTTACCCAGCACCTCTCACCAATATGTTACGAGGTTGGTTGCTTCTGAGCGAGATGTATTTGCAGAGTAAAAACTACAGGCAAGAGACACAATGGCTGATTGGCCCAGTCGCGCGCCTGTCAGTCGCACCTCTTCCTTTTCTTCCTCTCCGTAGCAATATTTTGCCGTGTGCCCCTTTAAAATTCAGTCACCACACGAAAAGCCGGTAAGTACTTCGAGGTAGTGCTTGAGTAAAACTGCTTCAGTAAAGAAAGGACATGGGTCACATGACACAACTCGAAATAACCTAAATGTAGTTTCATATTTATATAATTTTTTCTTGTAATGGCCTATCGTCATAAAACTTAAACGGGGAAGTGGGCCAGCAACTGCAGAATAACTCCACAGCTTTGTTTTCATTATTTCTCTCAATAGTGTGTGAACCACACAAACTACTGAACGTTGCTCGGGTATCTGTGTCATTTTCACGAGAAATGGGCCCAGCTATTCCACAGTATATAGTTTCTTCTTTTCATATATGGAGCTGTCTTTGCACTGTGACACTTTCGTAACAGAAATTTCCCTCATGCCTTAGCAGTAATAAAAAATAGTGTATTCTTCTAATACCTTAAGCCATAATAATACCGCATAATAAAGGTGGTGAGGAAAACTAATTTTGTCTCTTTATCTTAAGAAAAACAAAACTTGTTTAGCGTGAACATGTGGTTTTATTCCCGGTTCACACGGCCACCGCCGAACTCCGTTAAACTTCATATATGTAAAACTACATTACAGAGTTCGGCGGAGATGTAGTTATGGTCATGCCACTCACTAATTTTATGAGCTTTGGACAGAAGCGGCTAGGGGTACAATGAGTGCTACTGGGCCTACGTCTGCATGCAATGTTTCGTGCCTGATCACGCTGAAAACTTTCTCATCGTACTCATGATTAAAACTATAATTTATTCAAATTGATGACAAAAATGTTTTGATTTTATAACACAAACATGGGCCTGCACGTATGTTAGCAGTCATGCTGACAAGAGGGCTGGCAGCACAGTTTGCGTGTTTTAGTTGGCATTTTCTACACGTGCGCCGACATAAGTTAAACGCTGCAAGTTGTCATCAATTCTTTTGAAGTTGCACTGCCACTTATATCACATTGCCATTTCTAATATTCGGTGAGCACAGGTCTCACGATCAGTCCACGAAGCCATTGCTGCGGATCGGTCCAACGCCGTGATCCCACTACAGCTCGCATGTGCTAATGGCATGACTGCTGGCGTCGATGAAAAAGGAAAAAAAAACCGCAGAGCTCCATGTTATGTCTTTTGGTAATGTAGAAGAAAAATCACCTTACTAACAACTGAACAAAGTGCACTTGCGTAAACACATCGCGGTACTCACGGAGTTAAAGACACTGGTGGCACGATTGTTTTTGGCGAAGCGTGTCAGATATTTTCTTTTTTACGTGCAATTTCATCCCAGTTTAACGCACGCTCTGAATGCATAATGGGATGAAAGAACTTGTAATAGTTATAAAATTCACTATACTGTGCTTACTACGGATGTTTTGTATTTGCAGTTTTTGTAGCTACAGCCTACTGAAAACGAGAGTTCTCTATTCCGGGGCTAATGCAGATCGCCCAACTCCCTTTGTGAAACGTTTCGTCTAATTTCCTTGCCGTAAGGGAGACCATGTGACGCGGGCCACATCTGCGTTGACGTAAATATTAGTACTAGCTGAGGTTCAACTTCCGTGAACAACGTTATGATCATGAGGTCGGCCGTAGGGAAGATCTTAGGAAATTTAGAACACCTAGGATTCTTTACCGTCTTTCTAAATCTAAGTACCCGGGCCTCAAACTGTTTCGCCTCCATTGAAAAATGCAGCTGCCGTGGCCGGAATTCTATCCCGTGACCTGCGGGTCACAAGTCGAGTGTCATAACCGTCAATGATCCGCCACGGCGCTGGCCCAGGAGGGGCGTTGACGTAAAGACGAGAGAGTTAAAAAGAGTTCACGGGTGGCTTTGTGACAAGGGGTAATTTTATCACACGTTTTATGTTTATGTTGTTTTTATTGCGTTGTATTCATCCTTGAAGGAATTATTAGTAAGCTACAGCTCCAAAAGTTAGAGGCATGCTTTATAATCCTCCACGTAGCACGGGGATGAATCCGAATAGGAGCTTTAATGTAGCTTAGGTACGCTTCCGTATATACTTTGGTGTCTTTCTATATGATGCATTGTGCGTAAGCTCGAATCAACATCACCGATATGCGCAACATCGCTGCACTAAAAGAACAAAGTGTGGTTGTTGTTGTTGTTGTTGTTTCCCTGTGCAAATGGCTCGTATATTGGCCGATTATAAGGTGAATTCGCCCTAAACTTTCAGCAATGCGTCATTCCTACAAATTTTTTGTAACCTAATTTTGATTTGAAATACCGATATCAAGTTTGCAGAAAAAAAGAAGAAAAATAGTGAGACAGTAATTTAGCAAGAAAATCGTTTAGTCGCAGTGATGTATTCTTGAACGGCGAATAAAACATCCCTGTGGCTGAAACAAAGTGTGGTTGCTGGCAGCGAAAACATTTCCCTTCATTTTCTTCCAGGGGTTTGAAACAACAGCCATTTCCATAGCCTACACCCTTTTTCTGCTGGGAAATCATCCTGAAGTACAGGCAAAGGTGCACGAAGAAATTGACGCCATTTTCGTTGAAGATGTGGAAAGGGATGTAACGGCGGAAGACATCAAGCAGATGAAGTACCTGGAATGCGTTGTCAAGGTACGTTTGCCTTACGCTCATTGAAAACACATGATAAAAAAATGACAGCATATCCACGGAGTGGATGATGATAAGTGGGGCGAAGTGCTAGAGGGTTTCATTGCTAAACCGTGAAACGTACGCGAATATCACCCACTACATCATCAAAGATATGAGAAACACTATATATATATATATACATATATATATATATATATATATATATATATATATATATATATATATTTATGCAAGAATTGTTATTATTCGTACCTTGTGGCTATACATCGCTTCCGTTGCCCCTTCATTATAACAGCTTTATGGTCGATGAAGCGGTGGATCGATTATGGTGCGTAGTGGAATGTTTGCAAGGACGAAGTAGTGGGCAGTTGGCAAAGGTGGAACTGTATATAGGTGGTCACATACATACAGACAAGGGATGGACAGACCCACACCTTCAGGAGCTTGGCCCCTGAAAACATTGGGGGCCCTTAAGTTTCTCCTGTAAAAGTTGAACGCTACAGCGATATTCTGTTCCTAATGCGTACTTCAAACAGTTATTGTATGAAATTGTTTCGAGCTTGATACATACACTCACTACGTGGCCTTAAAGGTGCAGTAGCGTGTGTGTCTTTTGTAGTGGTTGACAAGCTTCAAACTATGAAGTCATTATGATAACACCGTGTTCTGACGCCCGACGGCAATGCACGCTTGTACCACGGTATTACAGCAATATTTATTGTTGTATTGTGAAGCAAGTATACAGTACGCGTGTGTTCGTAAAACATGAAAATTACTTTCACTGCATTTCCAAGCAGAGGAAGTTAATTTCACTGTATTCACAAGTAGAGACATGTCTGTATGGTTAAACACCTACTTGTCACGCTATAGCGACCAAAGTTTGGTCTTCACTGATACCCATAATTTTTATTACTTATTCTATTTGCATCTTTCTCTATTTTTTGGTGATGCCATGATGATGATTTTTCGCTAACAACAGACGACGCTGACGCTGACGCCGAAATTTCTGTGAAACGTGCGCTTTACCGTCATCGCGTTAATAAGCAAACAAAAGTGCCATTAGTGTGCCGAGTATTTCCTACAATATGTGTTTATACGGGCGTAAAGGTTGACCGCACTTTAACGATAGCTTTGCGCACTCTTTACAATGGGGCGTGGCCTACAGACCTCACTTTTTACACCACGTGTAAAAGACGGCGTTCCCTAAATGCCCATTGTGTGACACCTCAGATACGTCCGCCGAGCAGTCTCTCATACATGCGATCTGTGAAAATTATAGTCAACAATTTATTTATTTATTTATCTATTTATTTATTCATTTACTTAGTTATTTATTCATTCATTCATTCAAAAATACTGCAAATGCTATTCGGGCCCAAGCAGGAGGGATTACGTAACTGTCATTGACAATACCAGACATAGAATTTTAAAAATACAATGAAGAGTACAGAAAATTTTTTAAATCTCAAGTTCAATGAGGAACATGATAAATATATATCAGCTTTTCAAAAATCTAGCGAACAGTTATTCACGAGATGGCCGAATAAATGTGTTGCGTCAGCAACAATTGCTTCTTCCAGTAACTTGTTCCACAATAAGAGAGCATGAGAAAATAATGAATATTTATGTGCACCACACAAATAATCCAAAGTCAAAACAAATAGAGTGAACAAAAGTACGTGGTGCTCATACCCTGCTAAATGGGTGAGCCTTGACACTGTATTTCTTGGCACTGTAATTTATTCCAATTGATTCGGCGAGTAGCTTTAACCCAGTGGGAGATCCATGCCATTCAGGTGCTTTGAGTTGTGCATGTACTTATGAGGTAATGGGAGTATTCAAAAGTTTCAAGATGACAGAGAGTGGGATTTAAATGGTCTAAAAATGTAATTATTTACACGTGTTGTACATCTGCTTATCCCTTGTGTGACACACGTTTACAATCTTTCCCTAAAGCTTGTTTTTTTTTCCACGGAACATGAAGAATGCCAGGGGAACGGTAATCTATAAAAATAGAGATAAAAACGTTATAAATAATTACAGGTCCATTTCCATTCTTCCGATTTTCTCTAAAGGACTGGGAAAAATTATTCATCTTAGCCTTTCGAAAATTTTTTGACAAACATGCTGTTATAGCTCTATCGCAATATTGTCTTATATTAGGACCTCTCGGCGGTGGTCTAGTGGCTAAGGCACTCGGCTGCTGACCCGCAGGTCACGGGTTCGAATCCTGGCTGCGGCGGCTGCATTCTTGTTGGAGGTGGAAATGTTGTAGACCCATGTGCTCAGATTTGTATGCACGTGAATGAATTCCAGGTGGTCAAAATTTCTGGAACCTTCCACTACGGCGTCTCCCATAATCATATGGTGGTTTCGGGACGTTAAACTCTACATATTATTCAATTCGATTAGGTTTTTCAACCGAAAGCGCCCTTCAATTTCAGAAAGAATTGACCCCGAAAAAAATGTTCACAATATGGATATTTTTAGACGTGACGAAGGCCTTCGACAAGAGTAAGCATCATACATTACCAAGAAAAGTGTGCTGTTATGAAATTCATGGGGTATCTCTCGTTCTAATTGAAAGCTATTTAACAAACATACACCAATATGTATCTATAAGCAGGGCAATTTCTGATATGCAAACTGTTAGACATGGCGCTCCTGAAGTCAGTATATTGGGGCCGTTTCCGTTTATCTCATTTATAAATGATGGTGTATTTGTTCACCCTCTAGCACCATACGTCATCTATGCAGCTGATACAAATCTTTTTTTATTTTTTTCAGGTACAAACACAAATAATCTTGTGAATATAGCGAACTCCACATTAAAAATATACAATAAACACTTGAGAATTCTTTACTCATTAGCTGCTCCCAAACAAGAGTTGTACTTTCTCACTCCAGGTCCCCACCTAATGAGGTCACTAGTTTCTGCAATTTTATGTTAAACAAAAGAAAAATATATTTCTTTTCTACTGCTAAACCTTTGGGGGCTGTTTTTTATGAACACGTGAAATCGGATTACCCTACGTAATTTCAATACAATACGTTCTGCGACGTCATAGGTCCATTGAGGAACGGTCAACGTCTATGAGCAGTTGCTAAAAAGATTTTGATATTTAACGCACTCTTTACATCATATCTACGTTGTTGCAACTTAATGTGAGGTAATGGAATGAAGCAGTCTTTAGGTAATTTTATTATCCTTGAAAAAATGCTCCACGTACTCTTCGAAACCTTCCTTTCAATGCACACGTTTCACAAATGTTAACTAAATATAAAATAATTAAACTAAACCAGTTTTACCAGTACTCCTTAGTAATCTCCTTCAGGTCTCACACCGCTAAAAGTCGCGGCTATAAACGCAGTTTAGCTAATTTACAACCGAGTCCTTCTAGGTGCCTGAACCGATACTCTGAACATTGGTATGTTCCGAAGCCACGCACTAACTACGGTTTTGATGCATTGAATTACTGTTTGCCTAAAACTCTCAATAGTTTAAAAATTATTTATGACATTGTGTGCATACTCTTTCCCATACCTCCATTTTAAATAAATATTTCTCAATATGTCTGTATTGATATTTTCAACGGTATTGATATTGCCTGTGCTATGTTGGTTTGAATTGTTTTTTTTTACTTGCTTGTGGCGTTGTATTTTTTTTCTGCCCCAGTAAATCTTGAACGTGGGGCATTGTCACGCTGCTTAGAGCCGCTTTTTTTTTCGTCTGAGTTATTTACATCAAACTGTATGTGGTAAAAATGAACTCAACTCAAACTCAAGCACAAGCTACCATGTTTTGTACGCCTGTAAGAATTCTTGTGTCTTGATATCTATCACTCCTATTTTTTTCTGAAACATCTTAACGGGTTATTCCTGTTTTTTACAACAAACTATTTTCTACTACATACAGTTTCATACAATAGTTTTAGAAGACAATGCCTTCCTGGTCTTCATCCACCCTGCTTCCATGACGCGGTACAATCATGTCACGATGATGCCAACAATGTCTGTTATAAATTTTAGCAGAATTCAACGTGTGGGGAGTACAGGCCTTTTTTTTATCTAGCTTTGGCGTATTGGTATGTATACTAGCAGGCCTTATAAAGCTTGGTTATCTAATGTTTCCTAGTTATGGTGAACGTCGACTAATGTCGCATAAAGTTTGCTATCTGGAATTAAAATAATGCTGTTTTTATTGAATGTCATCACTGCAATTCATCCGTCTAAAGGTGTTTTAATGCCTTAACTTACATAACTAAAGGCTGTTTTTTTTACTCTTTCTTTAATTTCTATTTTGACAATTTTTACGACTTGTACAACAGTAATTCTGACTGTAAGATGTGACCCGAAAAATCATTTTACCTTCTCTGAAATTGCTTGAAACAAAAAAAAAGACACCGGCCTCTCTGAAGCTGTCACGGCCTCTTTACTTTCACTTCTTTTAATGCACTGCCATACTAACTACCTTGTTGGGACGCTTGACCTGTACGTCAAATCAAATAGCACGAGTGATGCCTCGCACAGGCAAGCCTGTTTTCTGTCAGCCACAGACTTGTCATACTGCATTCCACTTGAATCACGTCTCATAAGAAAACATTACTAAGAAAAGTGCCGATTTCTGTAAGCAAGCATTGCGTTCCAATAACTGTCATGAAGCGCGCCTTCTGTGTATCGGCGCACACACCCCACCCTCGTGTTAGCTGTCACTACTCAGATGTTGTTTTGCGGAGGGACTGCGCAGTAAACCCGGAAAAGGTTCTTTGCTCCTACAAAAGACGAAATGTGCGCAAAAGATGGCACACCGCACGGCAAGGAGGGGCACTTTCCTACTTCTGGAGTAGAGCGCCCGCTCTTTGGAGTAACTGCAGGAATGTTCGTGCCGTTTGCAAACGACCCATCGGTGCCTACACAAGCCCGTTTCCTTTCAGACGGTGCCGAAGTGCGGTGTGGTGTCGTAGTTAGTGTAGAAACATGTTGACTGGGTAGTCGTGAGTTCAATTCCCATGTGTTTGCTGCAAATTTTCCGAAATTTATTTCTTAATGTGATGTTTGCACATCGATTGCACATCTAATCAAATGCCTGCAAGCACTTCGAAAGGTTAATTAGGTCAACCAAAAACTGATCTTTCTTTTGCGCAGAATAACTGTTCCTCCTTCGAGGAATAACCGGGTGAGCGTGGTTACTCCTTCGCAGTTACTCCCAAAACGATGCAATGGGTGTGGCAAGTTAGTTACTCTTCTGAAGGAGCAACCTCGCTACCCCTTTTCATCCTTTACGTCTTAGAGTCTACATCTTTAATATCAACTCTAAATGCCAGAGCTATACAAGGACGTGTCATTCTGCAAGCTGTCACAGTTGACGTCGCTAAGCCTTTTCATCGCTAACGAGACGTACTCTGGAAACGCCAGCGTCCAGCAAGCGTGCCCGGTACTTGAAAAATTGGTATGTCGTAAACTCGCGTACACCAACGAAACTCGGAATAATGCCGCCACCATCTTATACTGCTACTGTCGACACGGTTGACGTGCTGTTGTGGTTCTCATTGTAGGTACGCTCGCAACAAAGACACAATCATGCCGCTTACGCAGACGCACTGGCTTATTCGAAACTATGAGGAATAGAAAGCCTGCTACATAGTGCAAAATGCTTCACAACATGAATTTGAAGAGTGCAAAAAGATTACCTTGTCGCGTCCTGCTAGACCTAGTTAAAGTTGCTTTCATTCATTCATTCATTTATTCATTCAATCATTCATTCATTCATTTATTCATTCATTCATTCATTCATTCATTCATTCATTGTGCGTTCTGCCTGTGGGTGTGTGTGCGCGTGTATGTGTGTGTGTCTGCGTTCACTACGCTCACAAGACTTTTTGTCGGTCGTTGCAGGAATCGATGAGGCTTTATCCCCCAGTTCCGCTCATTGCTCGCGACGTCGATGAAGACATGAAAGTTGGTGAGAAATGTGTTTTCTTCTGTTTTGATTTAATGTAGCGCGTGTCATGCACACAACTTTGCCCTTTTTTTTGACAAAACCACGCAAGTAGTGGTTACATGACATGTCAGCACCTTCTAACAGTAAGACGCGACGAGTACGGTGACATAATTCGCAAGTGTGTGTTGTCACGCGCGAGACATTTAGGAACGAGAATAATTGATTGATTGATATGTGGGGTTTAACGTCCCAAAACCACCATATGATTATGAGAGACGCCGAAGTGAAGGGCTCCGGAAATTTCGACCACCTGGGGTTCTTTAACGTGCACCTAAATCTGAGCACACGGGCCTACAACATTCCGCCTCCATCGGAAATGCAACCGCTGCAGCCGGGATACTTAGGAATGAGGTTCATTAGGGTTGAAGGCTGGGGTTGTTGGTGACGTCATTATAACGTATGGCAGTGTCACGCATTTTTCAAGGGGACAAAGGGGACAAGACACTCGCTTATATGGAGTATCGTTTCTGAAATAAATTTGTGAAAGTAGTAGGTATGGTGTCTTTCTTGTCCCCTTTGTCCTCGTCAAAAGTGCGTTACTTCCCCATAAGGTACAGTGATACTAAGGCATGTTATTCTGACAGCTAAGTTGGCTAGTTCAGGAAGTCACTTTTATTTCTGCAGTCCAAGAGGAGGCACTGATGCCTGCTGTTACACATACGGCCAGGAAAACTACGACTTTTACTCATTCCAATTGTATAGTGCATCGCTATAGCTGTCGAACCGCAATGATTGTTCACTTTAGACGCGTTCAAACCATGGTGTGGTTATGAAGCATGCCGTGAAGGGGAAGGCGTAAAGGGGCTGTAAACACTTTTCTCTTTACAAAATGAAACATTTTATTCACTGACACTGCTGCACTCTTACAATGCTGTACTATGATCATATTTTCTTGGACGGCCTTATTTATTTAACGTGCTGTTCACCAGCAATAGTGCAAAAACTAAAATGAAGTCAAGCGCCTATTTTAACACAATGAAAGTCAGCAAAACGGTGCTCTAAGAGGGTTTTGTCAAGATTCCTTTGAAATATAAGCGAACTAAAAGCCTATAAATACTACAGAGACAGGCGTGTTTGTCTTTCTAATGACCATCAGCACGAAATTTGCAAAGAAAAAGAATGCTGGCACCTTTCTTGACGCTCCCGTGTTTGCATCCATTCTCATTTAGGCGAATTCACTGTGCCCAAAGGGTCCGTTGCTGTCGCCGCTATCTACTTCATACAGCGACATCCCAAGTACCACAAAAATCCCGACGCGTTTCAGCCGGAACGATTTTTGGACACCAAGGAAAAAAATCCTTTCTTGTACATTCCATTCTCCGGTGGCTTTCGGAACTGCATTGGTGAGTGCTACAGAAAAAAAAAGCCTTTAAACATCTATATTTATAATAAAAAATGAAGTGACGTGTAAGCTCAATAACATACTCATAGTAATGTTTTATTAACAACTTTTTTTCTATATGTATGCCATCTACTGTCATACTACATTCACATATATTGTTTTGAAGTACAGTTTTTATTTTTGTTTTGTTTTCAGTAATGCATAACAAAGCGTTTTTGTATATTACTAAACACTTCCGTTTCCAAGTATCTACTATTAATGTTCTTTTGTATATTTGTGTTAAGCATTTATGTAATTATTTTCCATCTGTCATAACTCGCTTCCTATATTCAGTATTTTTGCGTTATTTTTGTTCGCACTGATAATCATTGCTACTTTAATACTCTTACACATGCACTTCGAATAGGATATTTCCCTGACAATTTTTTTTACACCACGGCCTTAAACGCCGTTCGTACATAATATGTAACCCGATTTATGTTCGGGCACGAAAACTGAAACGCGACGTCGCAACATTTAGTATAATGATGGATATGAGCTATTCCTCGAAAGAACCAAACCATGATTACGAATTCCCTCTAACAAAATTGTTCTCTCTTATGTGAGTGTTATAGTCAAAATTACGTCCATGTAAATTAATTAAAGATGGTGGAAACAAAAGTACATTAACTACTTGTCCTCTAATTGTCACGTTCCAATGCGCGAGTGTACTCTACACGCAATAAAAGCAAGAGGTTGAGCCAAATAGTAGAAATTTAAAAGAAATGCACACCAAGATCAGTCAATCTGTATTTTATTTTACATCTGCAATTCCTGAGCCTTTTTCGTATTTACTTAATATACTTCAAGCAATAAACTCGAAAACTACGCGCTTATTACGTTGTCATGCCTAAAGACATACGTAGTAAAAACGGTTACCTACGGCTGAGGCTAGTGCTGAATTTACAGAATACTTACTGTGTGTGCATGAATTCGGTAATATCTGCAAAAAATGCAAATATGTTAGTCTTAGTGTCAGTCGATCAGAACGAATTAACACTGGATTTTGTTCAGGAGGCGGCACACCTGATCAGCTACCTTTTTCTCTTAACAGGTCAAAAGTTTGCCAACTTGGAAGACAAGATCCTGCTAACCCAGATCATGCGCCGTTACACAGTGACCTCCAAGCTTAGGATGGATCAGCTTCAGCTTTCCATCGAAGTTGTGTTAAAAGCCATTCAAGGCCTTGAAATCAAAATTCGGCCACGTAACAAAGCAATGAAAGAGGACTGACGTCGTATGCAGAGAGCCTATTTATGAAAAGCCTTACTTCACAGAGTCGTCACTTTGGCATGACTAAAGCGGTCGGCTTACTCAGAAAAAAACATCCTCTCGTAATTAGTGTACATTACCGAAACATTTGCGCCAGAATGAGTGAATGGATGTGCCAAAAAGATTGTTGGAAGAAACTTGTGTGCAACGCCATAAAGCTTATTTAGTGAGTGTTACTACAAGACAGGAGACAATATATATGATACATCACTTTATTTGGGAGGGGGGGGGAATAGGTGAAGTTTTCAAATGGTAATTAAATTGTACTGTACTGAGGAGGCTAGTGGAGAGCTTATCTGACTATTTCAAGATGTTCAAAAATGAACTCATGTAAAAACCTTGCATTTCAATAAAGTGGCACATTTATGAATTTCTTCGACGTCGAGCAGTCGTTCGTTTTTCTATTTATTTGTACGCAAGCCACAAATAGGCATTGCTTTCGACTACCACGGCAAAGCCTGAGATTAAACAGCACGTTACAATTAAAACATGTGAAAAGTACTTTAATGCTCGTGCCTCGTCTTTCAAGAATCATAATACCAGCCAGGCGAAGCTTTCTATATGATCATTGTAGTTTCATGGCCACATTTTATTGCCCCAAAGTATACTTCAGTGCAGAAAAAAAAATGTTTTTCGGTGATCTTCAAAACTTACGGCCACACGTAATGAGTCAACTGTCGCTGTTCTAAACAGAGCCACTCGAGCAAAGGCTTTTTTTATTCGACCAAATGATTCTCCTAGTTCATTCACGCCTTTTGCCGTGACCCAGGCAACATTGCTTATCAGTACGTCCGGCCACCCACCCAGAATCCAAATATTCAAGAACAATATCGTGGTGTGAGAAGATTATACCATGAAGATACTCTTCCCCATGTTTTCCTAAGACACCTTCATGAGTCGTCCTACCTGGACCGCTGTTAGGCCTCAGATACATAGTATTACAAAGAAGTCTTTTGTACCATCTATCAACCTCAAGCCACTTACACTAGTTCACAATTATACAATAAGTGACAGTGCGGCACAAGAATACACTAGTGGATATACCACGTCATACACTTTCGCCACAGCGTTTGTCGTCTCACAGACTATCATAGCTCGGCGTTTCAAATTAAACGACAAAAACACATTAACTGTGACAAATTGTTGCTATTCTAGAGGCAATACGACTCCTTTATAGAGAGCCCGCTAGTAGATGGAAGACATCTTGCGATGACAAAGCAGCTCTTCAAACCTTCGATTGCGCCTCGAGACGCGGTGCGTACTATATCTACGGAAGTTGCAGAGCTTTTTGGCATTATTACGAAAAATGGTCATCATGTCCCATTCGAGTGGACAGCTGTTCGCTGTGAATTAATGGAGAATGAAGAGGCGGGCGCTGACGTTAAAAATCTTGAAATAAGGCCCAGGAAGTGTGCATTGCGTTTCCACGAACAGACATTAACGTCTTGCTTCGGCGCGTAATGCGCAACTCCACAGTATAATAACAGAACAAACCAAAACGACAACACAGCCGACTGCATAAATGGGACCATGAAATGAAGTTGCGCATGGCTCGCAAGCTACTGCGAAACATGATATGGGTGATTCACCGTATTCGTCTTGGGGTGGTCTTCACGTGTATGCCCCATTTTTCTTTTTCGAAAGTATGCCCTTGATCAATCGCAGCGACACAGATCCCGATTCTGATCATTTCCAATTACTAGAAACACTTCATATATTTCGCGCCTGTCCAGCGTATGCACGACCTCATCAAAAGCTCTGTAAGCAACATTCTGCTCATAAGCACACCAAACTCGCAAAGCACAGAGGTGCACCACCGTATCAAATCCATCAAGATGGACGAGCGCAGCTTTGAAGTTGTCACCCACATTACAGATTCATTCGAATACCTGCAGAGGGGTCATCGGTAATATTTCATGGAACACATACCTGAAACTACCTTGTCAAGTCAATTGCACTATTACAGACTAAGCCTCACCCTGACATGACGTCGTATAGGTGCCACAACGTACATCTTGGTCTCCTTCAGAGATATGCGCGTGCCTTTCTACATAAGATATCAGGATGGCATCACCCGATGCGTACCCTATCATCATGAGACTGAAGCCTGCAATATCTGCCGCGAACTTGGCCACAGACCAGACGCCTGCCCAGGCGCCCCTCAGTTTTTATGTCCAGTGTGTGGCATTCCGAACCCACCCCTCGATTACGAATGTGAACCTAAGGGTGTAGTGTGCAATAATGAACACCCCACCGGCTCGCCCGATTGCCCACAGCGCCACAAGCCCAAACCGAAGCACGCACCCTCAACTTTTCAGCAAGCTGTAGCTCCATTCCTCGACTCAAGCACATATTTCAAGAACGCCCATAGAGGACGCTCACCCAGTATCACAAGACAACAAAACCGATGCAGCCGCAGACGCAGCCGAAGCAGAAACAAAAGCATTCATCAAGACCCCCGCCCCCGGACTGGTCCTGGACATTAGGTGAGCTGGGCTGATGTAGTCTCCCCTGAAAGCTCCATTCAAAATCAGCTCGAACTATTGCCTTCATGAGATGGCTAGATTTAGGCAAAAAATGTCAAACTGCGTCTAGAGCTTCAGTCCTTCAAACAACTATCCACCTCCCCACACCTCCCCACCTCATCCCTCACCCCTACACCTCTCTCACTACTCCCAGCTTCTCTCTCAATCACCCTTATAACTAGGAACACCGCTCATCAACCTGTGCAAAAACGAAAAATCTCGACTCCTACATTGTCATTCGAAAAGCGAGTGGACAGAGTCGAAGCAAAGCTAGAGAGGGTTGACAAAGTTAAAGAAAAAGTAACGAAACTCGGGGGAAAACTAGACAATTTTGTTACCCTCTCCACAGCTTCTTTGCAGAAGCTACATTAATCCGTGGCCTCAATACAACAAGCTATGTTACCGACGCAACGAACCCTAGATAGAGTCACGCTGTTGATCAACATGGATCACGCTAACCATCCAGAGCTTGCCCAACCTAAGCCAAATCCACCTAGCGAAAATGGTTCCTCGTAACCACACTGAACTCTGCGTATGGCGATAAAACTGCAGGGGGTTTCACCGTAAAAAGGCAAGCCTCTTGCAGTACATCGAATCCCGAACTACCCCTCCCCCCATCATTGCGTCACAAGAAACAAATGGTGTAGTGCAGCTGCCAGGTAATAGAGCGCATCATAACCGGGCTGATACCAAACCAAACACGGCAGTTTTAACTCAGAAGCGCCTTACAGTTACATATTCAAAATTTGCCGACATCGGCATTGAGCATGACTTTCTACAAATACTACCTCATGAACTTAACTCGCCATTCTTATACATTTCAACGTATATATTAGGCCACAACAGAAAAGCCACTGCTTTTCTTCTCTATTAGCCCGAGTTACATCCTCAGCAGGCAACCACACCCTCCTCATAGAGGGGAATTTCAACGCCTTTCACCCAGCGTGAGGTAACCCCAGATCTATACTGAAAGAGAGAGCCCGCTGGTCCCATATTCAGGAACAGCGTTTTATACTGCACGACAACCCGGAAGTGCCTACTCGTCTGGGAAACAGTGTAAACAAAAATACGTCCCCAGATTTCACCTTCACTCACAATGCTTCCACAATTGTTTGTACTAACACCCAAACTAATTTTAACACCTAAACTAATCCAAGGAGTAATCTATATATTATTAGCGTTACTTTAGAACTAAAATCTAGACCCATTGCGCCAAAACCAATTATGCTCACACAATGGGACAAGTTTAGAGAGACCCGCCACAGCACAACCCCCTCACGCATTTCAGACCTTACTGAGTAGACCCAATAGCATCAAAAAGATGTTGAAATCCACACGAAAACTCTACCCCCCCCCCCTCCACACACACATACACAAACCAACTACTCTCAACTCTAAGCTTCTCCCTATGTGGAAAGCAAAACAGTCATTCTGCGACGGTGGAAACACCAGCGCCAGAACTGGAATCTCAGCATAAGGATAGTTAATATAGACCAACAAATCAAGCGATACGTGACTAAACTGGCGGCGCAACAATGGGGTCAGCTTTGTGAAAGAATGCGTGACCACTTCAGTAATGAACGTGGCAACTCCTTAGACATCTGCTAGACCCCACCACTTCTCGCGCACGACACTGCCACGCTATCACCAAACTGTTACACGAGCACAGTGACCAACAATAGGACAGCTCTTTGATAACTTCCGCACGTTGCATTTACCTCAATTACGCAATGATCTTATATCATCTAATACAGGGAAACATATTTAGTCACTCATTAGATACGAGGATAACGAAGGCGGAGTATGAGCACGCCCTCGCAACCCTCAGTATCACGTCGGCTCCAGGCTCTGACCACGTTCACAACAAATTACTTTGATATCTTGACCCGATTTCAATTAAAGCTTTGATTGAGTACCTTAACGACTGTTCTGACAGGGTCACCCTTCCACCTTCGTGCAAAGATGCCAGAGTCATATTTATACCTAAACTGAACAAAGCTCTCTTATTAGAAAATCTCAGGCCCATTTCCTTAACACTGTGCCTCAGAAAGACTAGGGAGCCTGTTGTGCTTCCATGGATCCAGAGACACGTGGAAAATAATGGACTACTGCTACCAGAAGTGATTGGCTTTAGAGCCTCATTTTCGGCGCAAGATGCAATGCTTCGCCTTCAACACGACATCATAGCTATTAACCAGAGCGAGGATACTTAGGTGATCTTTAGTCTGGACATACATGTAGTGGTAATATAGTCTGATCTCCCCAACTTACCATCATCATTCAGAGTTTCTCTCTTGATCCCCTGTCCCCCTGCACCCATGCAGATTAACAGGCCATAGCAATATAGCTCAGGCCGACCTATCTAATTTTCTGTAAGTTAATTTTTGCACTCTTCATTTCATAATTACCATCCACGTGTTTCTTTGTGTGTTTTTTTTTTTCATTTTTAGTGGACCAGTGGCAAGTGTTAAGATATGGTCAATTTTTGTGGCATATACATACTTTGCGTTTTTGCGCGCATGGAAGGAATTTTCATTTTGTCTAGATATACACAGCTTCTTCTTAAAACAGTAATCATGCGAAATTTGTTATATGGGCTGGGTGTATAGTGCTGTGTGGTTTAATGAAGACTAAGGCCTACTCACAACCATCTCGCTAATATTCTCTGAATATACCCATGTAAAGACACAACAAATGCCTGAGTTACAGCACAACCTGCGCAGACTTTCACCTTGCAGTCCCCTTGCGTTTACATTGATGATAGAATTAACGCATCTAAATATGTAGGAGCAGGAAGAACACGAAATGGGGAAGAGGCAGTCGATA